CTGCCTATCCCAGATCCTTGGGAAGGACTCAATAGGCGGATAGAAATGCCAAACCCAGTCTAAACATCTGGCTGGCTGTGCGACCAACCGTAATAAAGTGGCTATGATAAGGCCTCTAGGCTCAGTTCCCATAATCCCCCACCAGCAATTCATACAGACGTATTAAAAAAGGGAACTAAACACTCCATCATTCTTACAATAAAAGGAGCAGCGGCAGCAGCCTCGAAAGTTTGAGCCCAACTTTAATGTTTTAATGACTCCAAAGGAGAGTTGCTATTTTTACTATTTTGCTCACTCAAAAAAGAAGCCTCAAGGGGCCAAAGTGAACCCGTCCATCTGCTAGAGTTTATACCCTGTAACCTCGTAGAATATGCGAGTAAGTATTTTTTTAGATTTTTTTATCCCGCCTTTCTTATTTGTATAAATAATTTAAGGCGGCGAACATGCCTCGTACTCCTTCCTCCTCCTTTTCCCCCCACAACAACAACCCTGTGAGGTGGGTTGGGCTGAGAGAGAGGGACGGGCCCAAAGTCACCCAGCCGGCTTTCATGCCTGAGGCAGGACGAGAACTCACCGTCTCCTGCTTTCTAGCCTGATTAGTCTAACCACTAGACTAATCTCATGACTGATTTCATATTTTATTAGTTTTACTGCTTATCTATTTATTTTAACGCGATGGGACAAAGATATGGTATAAAGTCTGACGCGACGTGGATACTGCTTGGAGGCTTTACGTTTTGCTAAAACAAAAAAAGTGAAACGTGAAGCACCTTTGTACAAAATTGAAAACAAATCGAGGCGGGATCCGACCGGCTTTTCAAGAGCAAGGCCCATGTCGCGCCGTTGCCTAGCAACACAGTCTTGCCTTGCTCTGTCCAGAGTGGCTACTTTCAGTCACGTGCGATCCGCCTTCTTTTTCCCCCCCCCCCAACGTGGAGAAGGAAAGCAGTGGCGCCGACGTCAAGCGCGTGCGAGCCGTTAAGTTAAAGGCATGTGACACTCATGACAGCCATAAGGCATATTCTGCGCATGTGCAAAGTAGAACGAACGAAGAGATAGAAAAGAGGTAGAGTGAGCCTTCCAGTATTTGAGGGCACGAAAACAAGTATCCGATATTTGGGAAGTAATTACTAAGCCCAGAGAGATGAATATTTATTTATTTATTTATTGATATTTCAAATTTGTCACCGCCCATCTTACTGCAGAGAGACATAAATATGATAAGCAACAGCTAGCATTTCAATAATTTGAACATCTCGGAAGTTGTCGACGCAGCGCCATTCTATAGAAGTAGTCTATGAATTGGGCGCGGAACTCACGTGTCCGAACGTCCCGTCTACGCTTACCTCCCCGATCACGTGCCGAGGGAGCGACGTCGCCGTCGTTGTCAAGGTCACCCTTCTCCTTCCCTCTTAAAGGGCCATGTCTCTTTTGTCGTCGCTGCTGCGGCTGCCTCAGCGAGGCCTCGTCATGACCGCCGTGGCGACAAGACACCGCCTGAGGCTAGCGGGGCCCCGGCCGGACAGAAACGGAGGCCAGTGCCGAGGAACGCCCCGCCGAGCGGCAGCGGGAAGAGCCGTCACCGTTGGCAGCGGCCTTAGCCTATCAGGTAAAGGGGGCGTGTCTAGATTCCCATGGATGGGCGGGGCTATTACCGACGTGGGCGTGGTGTCGAGCTGTGGGCGGGGCCTTCCGGGCATAAATTGAATTAAGGTTAACACGCGTTGAATTATTGAAAGTGAGGTTTATAATGTTTCTATTAGTATTTATTCCATTAAATTATTAATTAAGACAACGGCACCCTGAAGAGGAATCCCTCTCAGAAAAGAAGCCACAAAGCAGGCTTGCAAGTTCTGGATCTAAAAAGTCAATTAAAGAAGTCAGTTTTCCCCCCAGCTGCCTTTGACTTCCACTCCCATTATCCCCTGCCAACATGGACAGTGGCCGATGGTCATTGAGTACCAATATCTCTGGAAGACATAAGTGGAGAGAGGCTGCTTTAAAGACATGCAAGATCTATCTTGGTTTTTTTTTTAATTCTATTCCAGTGTTTTTCAAACTTGGCAACTTTAAGATAAGTGGACTTCAACTCCCAGAAT